TTCCACGTGGTCTGGCAAGGCCCTTGTGGACAAGGGAACTCAGGCATTTTAACATGCTCAGGGAGTCGACTTCCCAGCACATGAGCAGGATTTGCTCTCTTTAAAATACCAAGTTTTGGGGTAAGAGGTTTAGGGCTGGAAGGGGGAGAAACAGGGAGAGCAGAGGCACATGGCTTAATATTTGGCTTTTTCTCCAATTCCTTTTGTTTGAGCAAGGCTGTTAGAATTTGTAGACTCCAGAACACAAATTTAGCTGAAGATGATTTCTCAGACTGTCCCAAGGTTATCAATTCATGCCCTACTTTATCCCAAAATTAAATATTGTGGACTTCCTCAGGAGAAGTTTGTGGGAAGTGTAGAAAAAGCCACCTTATAAATGGTTTTAATTTTCCTTTAGAAAACTTTACATTCCAACAATATGGTAATACACTCCTTTTTTGTTCTGTGCTTAACTTCGAGCCCATTTTAGATATAAATGGCACAGCACAAAGTCCCGCCGACCGAATGCAAAGCCAAAATCAGCTACCGATTTCTAAAAAGACCACGGTTAAAAAGCGATAACGCTCAGACGAAAGCTTTCACAATGCAGCTGTATATACTGCTTCTAAAACTGCTGCGGTAGCAGCAGGCAATGGGGACACACCTCGGCCGCATGGAGAGACAGACAAAGCCTCCCCCGCCTGAGAATGCAGCCCCCCCGTGCACCGCATAAAGAGCAGCCCCCCCGCACCGAGAGCCGAGCACGCTGCGCTGCCAAGGCGCGGGGAGTGGCAGGCAGAGCTGTCCTGCTCCTCGGGGCCGACGACGGCGCCAATTCTAAAAACAGCAAAAACACGCCGCAGAGTTAAAGCTTGATAGGGTATCGCCTTTGCTCCGCAGGGCTGCGCAGCCTAAATGCAAGAGCAAAAAAGAACAAGTCTCACGGCAGAGATGGAATTTGAGCTTCTACCTCCCCAAGGAGCAGAAATACTCACCAAAATCGAAGCTGTTGCTGACAAAGTCAGGCAGGCTGGTCTCTTCACTGAATAGGACCTCTTGGGCAGGAGGGGCTCCCCTATTCTCCCCTGGAAAATTCGCTCACCAGAAAGGAGCTGCACTTTCCAGAGGCGCAGAGCGTTCCCCGAGGCTTCTTGTGGGTTCAGTCCCAAAGTCTCTCCGGAGAGCTGTGCAACCACAGCTCTACAGTGGACGCTAAGCTGCTGTAACGCTTTTCCAAGGTTCTGAGATTCCTTCTGGGGCTGCAGGTTCGTGCAGCCACACGTTTGCGAACCAATATATAGAATATTAATCCTGACGTTTCTGGGTGTGTCGTGCCTGGCTTTGTCTAGCCCTCGCTGCTGGACCAAAGACGGCAGCTGTGGCGTTTTACCCCAGAGATACCTTTGGCCAGCTGGATGCTGCAGCTAGGCACTCGGAACAAAGCCAGGCAAAGCAGGAACTCAGTTTACCTCTGGTGGAAAAGGTTCAGGCGACAGTGATGAGAAAAGAGCAGATTCTATCATAGAGTCTTAATCCAGAGTTTTATTTTAGGATGGCAGACCTCTAAAACAGCTCCCAATAGAACACCGGGCTGCATGGTCTCGTCTGCTTTTAAGCCCCAGGGACAGGGGGAGGGGAAGGGACAGGTGAGCCTACCAGGTGTGAGGAAGGGAAGGCTCAAGGGATATAGATGCTTGGACAGGCCAATGAACCCGGATCTGAGGGGCATCTTTTGAACTTCTGCCAACCACGCAATGCCCCTGCTGGAATGTTAAGATTGATGGACAGCTCTTAGCAGGAGGGCAACAGGGGGAGGGGGAAGGTTGGCACACCTGGGGGCATCGCACTGCAACAAAAGCTCTTCCCACATTTCAAGCACTTCTGGAGCTTCTCCTTGCCCTGAAGCTGCTCATGGACCCTCAGCTCCGAGCTCCGGCCACCTCCCCGGCCCAGGGTGGGTCTTTCCTCCTCAGATCCCCGTGATCTGCGTTTGCAGCCCCTCCTCTTGCGGGATCTCCGGTACTTTTCCTCCCCGTAGGGTTCCTGCGCTGTGGGAGCCGCTCAAAACAGCCTCATCCACGAGGTTCTGCTGTGGGGATTTGTCCTCCCTGCTCTCCATGCTCAGTGCCTGGTCTGGGGGAGGAAGGACAAGGAGAGGATGGGATTTGCCTCCATGCCACAGGGAAGGGCAAGGTGGGAAAAAGGGATTGTGGGGAGAAGAAGAGTAGGGGGAGGGCTGAAACATGTGGATGCCACCATTTTGGGCTCTGGCCATGTGGTCAGCAGTATCCTGAATGCCAACCTTGCGGTCGCAGCCATTTTGGGAATTGGGGCGTTAGAACAGGACTTCGGGGTAACAGGAGCTAGGTTAGAGGGGTGCAGGGAAGGTTCTCTGTCAGCCTGAGCACAACTGCTAGGGCCAGGGTAATGGGAGAGAGGTGGGAAGCCAGGGGAGCAGTGGCAGTGCCAGGTACCCTGAAATTGCCGGAAAGCCTCGCTCCTCTCTCTCAGTTCAGGGGCAGAGGGTTTGGGGAGAGGGGTAGGGGAAGCCGCAGGAGGGGAGATTTGCTCTGACTGTCCTTTCAAATCCCTCTTCAGGACTTCTTTCCGAATCACCAGGAACACAGGGGAAAAATGAGACACCGTCCCATCTCCCTGTTCCACTTTAGCTGTTAACATGGCTCCAATTTTATCCCAAGCAGAGACAGAATTCTGTCTTTACCAGACATTCTGCTGGGTAAACTGAGGGAAATGAAAAGATATCCAGGGAACAAACTGTTTCAAAACTGCTTTGGAAACCGTAATGTTTCCACTACTAAGGGTTTCTAAAATTAGGGTATAAATGCTCCTCTGTGCCGCAGAAAACTTAGCACCCATATCTGCTTCCTGCAGCACGTAAATCTACCTTCTTTACAGTGAGCACAAACAAAACTGAAAGCACTGAGTCCACAGCCAATCCGGGAAAATCCGGGCAGCCTCTTCCCCACCCCTTCTCCCCGAGGGAGAGACAAGCTGCTTGCGTAGAGACTGCGCGGCTTTTAAAATGGCAAACAACAGCTGCCAGCCCCTCCACCCCGTGGATGCCGCATGGGCGGCTGGAGTGGGTCCGCGCCACCTGTCAGGTCCTGCCCAGGCATGTCCGCTCTCGGCAAAAACGCAAGCTGCAGACACTCTGCCACCGCCCGCGCTGCCCCAGCGCTGGAACCTGCACGCAGCACCGGGTTTAGCGCGGGAACACGCCGCTGGGACCCCGCTACCCCAAAACAGCGCGCAGGCACTGCCAGAGCACCGGAGCCGCCGTCTTCAGGACCGGAGATTTTCCTGCACCGGGAGCTAATCACCACCCTCTAAAAGCCCCCCCGGGTCCCCCAAGAAAGGCAGGGAATACTCACCCCACTTGGGGACTTGGCTGGCTGGGACAAGTGTAAAGAAGTCCTTGTCCGGGATCGGCCCACCTTGGGCTCGGTGGGGTCACGATCCCACCCTCTAGCCTTCTTGTCGACAAAAACGCAACAAAGAAGTCAGAGGAAGGTGGAAGTCCAAAAGCTAACATAATCCACTCGTGGAATTACCAGCTACTTCCTGGCCGTCGTGGGAGATGAACACGTGGGCGTCACCTGCAATAATCCGTGGTTCTCTGGGCTTTGTATGGGTCCAATCCGGCTAGCTGGAACCCAAGCCCACACGGACCTGCATGGACTGAAGATAAAAGACAAAAAGCGCTCTTCCAGCAGGTGGGGATGAGTATCCTGTTTGTTGGCTTGTGATGGGACACTGCTGGCCGCAGCAACCACCCAGGTAGCAAAAGAGGCCGGACCTTTACCTGCAGTGGGGTTTTATCCCCCAGGGTAAAGGGGGCGGGGAAGGAGGACCGTGGCCAATGGGATGCCATTGGGGAGGGGCAAGGGGAGGGGTATCCATGGGGCAGACCACCAGGTGTGTAGAAAGGAGTGCATGGGGAGAAACCATGTGATGAGGAAGGGGGAATAATCTACATGACATAACATACTCAGTACAAAATTCCTGTTACCCAGTGCAGAACAACTACTAAATAAACTATTTAGTGCAATACAACCAAGTCCCATCCTCCTTGTCTTCTCCCTTCAACTCTCTGTTTATGCTTTTTGGGCCTGAGTCCGTAACAGTTGTCCTTGGATTCTTAAGCTGGAAAAGGATCGTTTTGTCTAACTACCATGTGAAGAGAATTTACGAACAATTAATACAAAGTTCAGAGTTACACACCAAGGCAGTATAGAATCTGAAAAATATGAATGCTAAAACTTAGGGCATCACCCCCATGTCACTCTCTATGTCTGTGTCCTCCCATGTCCCCACCTATGTCTGGGTCGTCCATGTCCCCAGTTATTTCCATGTCCCGCCTTGTCCCCACCCATGTCATTGTCCTCCCATGCCCCCATCCATGCCTTAGTTCAATGTCTTTATTTTTACAACAGTTTCAGGAGTTTCAAAGGGATGAACAGAAAGGAAATGAAATTCAAGGCCAAAACAAAATTATTTACATGTCCCTGCCAGCAGAGCATCCATGTGCTTGGGTGGGTGGGAAGAACCTTTTTTGGAGGGGTTTCCATCCCACTGTCTCCAAAATCAGGGGTTTTTCCCCAGTCTGTCCTCATTTGGCTGTGAAAGACAGTTGTGGGCCATGGAGAACTAAAACAATGGATTTATGTTGGAGAAGACCTGCAAGGCTATCCAGTATTGCTCAATGCAACTAGATGATGAAAAAGGTGAGATTTTTCTGCAGTCGGAAGTTGACCAATCTGCTCTCCACAAGGGATTTCGGATGTTGGTCTGTGGATGTGTGCAGGTGCCCATGGGGAGCCAGGAGAACATGGAACCCACAGGCAGCTGTCTTCCCAACACGAATCACCGCACCATGGATCACCAGGGCTCTGCCCTCCAGGGGTCACTGGGGATCATCCAGGGTGGATCCTCATGTGAGGGATGGAGCTGGAGCAGCACAGGAAGCTCTTCCTGCCCTCGGGGCACTCGCAGGGCTGCCCTTAGTGCTGGCTCCGTTGGTGTTGGGTGAAGTGAGAGCTCTGTGAGAAGCTCTTCCCACACTCAGGACACTCGTAGGGCCTCTCCCTGGTGTGGATGCGCCAGTGTTTGATGAGGGTACAATTACGGTTGAATCTCTTCCCGCATTCGGGGCAGAGAAAGGGTCTCTCGTCTGTGTGAATCCGCTGCTGCCTGACGAGAGTGGAGCTGATCTGAAATCTCTTCCTGCATTTATCACACTCGTAGGGCCTCTCCCCTGTGTGGATTCTCTGGTGGACAATCAGCACGGAGTGCTCAAAGAAGCTCTTCCCACACTCCCCACACTCGTAGGGCCGTTCCCCGGTGTGGATTGTCCAATGGCAGATCAGGGAGGATCTCAGGGAGAAGCTCTTCCCACATTCTGAGCACTTGTGGGGCTTCTCCCCATCCTGAAGCTGCTCATCAACCCCCAGCTCCGAGCTCCGGACACCTCCCCAGCCCAGGGTGGGTCTTTGCTCCTCAGATCCATGTGATCTGCGTTTGCAGCCCCTCCTCGTGCGGGTTCTCCACGACTTTTCCTCCCCATTGGATTCCTGCACTGTGGAGCTGCCCAAAACAGCCTCATCCACAAGGTTCTGCTGTGGGGATTTGTCCTCCCTGCTCTCCATCCTCAGCGCCTGGTCTGGGGGAGGAAGGACAAGGAGAGGATGGGATTTGCCTCCGTGCCACAGGGAAGGGCAAGGAGATGCCCCCAGTGCAGCAGGACAGCTTTGGCAGCAGGGTTGTCCTGCAGCCAGGGGCCGTGCTGGGCTGGGAGATGGAGCAGGAGAGCGGGGGAAAGGGGCACTGACTTCCTCCTCCCCTACCTGGGCCTCCCGGGCCATTTTCCTCTTCCTCACAGCCTCCTCCTCCTGCATCAGGCCAAGGTTTTGGAATAGGAAATCCTGGTTTGGGGGAAAACAAGGGCTGAGCACGTTGGGTTTGATGGTCCCGCTGCCCAAGTGCAGCTGGAGAAGTCAGCGCCCCTTTCAGCCTCAGAGGACCCGGAATCCACTCATGCCCAGCCTCCCCCACCCCTCCAGGCTGCCGGAGGTCCACCAGCTCCTGGATCGCCCCTGTGTGCTCTCTCTGCTTTGGAGCTTCTGAGTTCCCCCTTGGCTCTCCCAGGATCCCCAAATCCAAGATCGCGCCTGCGCCCACCAGTACCAGGCAATTGCCAAGTGGGACCATCAAGATCCCTCCAGGGGCTTTTGTGGCTCTGCTCTGGGGTCCTGGAAGATCCAAACATCTCCTGCCCCGCAAAAAAACCCTCCCAGAGACCCCCGGGTGGATTTGGGGCGAGCTCCCCCATCCCGCTCACCTGTGGGTTCCAGAGGGGGCGATGCTGCTGGAGCCGGGGGAGCTGCAGCCTGCACGGGCGGGCAGGGGAACCACTTGGTTCTGCTGCTGCTGGTATTCCTCCCGTTCCTGCTCTTCATCCCACTCCTCCGCTCCCAGCCCAGCCCGGACAGTGCCGACACACAAATGCAGCTGCCCTCTGCCCTAGCGGGGGGGTTCCCAAAGCGGCCCCAGCCCGCGTGGCACTGGGAGCGATACTGGGAACACTGGGTGGGATCCTGAGAGCAGTGGGAAGGAATTGGGAGTGCTTTCCCTGACAGTCCCACTCTTACTGGGAGCACTGGGATGGAACTGGGAGCAAACAGCGCCCGGAGGCGGCTGTAGCCAGTGCTGGGTGCGGCCAAACTGAAGGGCGTGGTTATGCAAATACAGGAGCGATTGCACCCTGGGATTGGTTGGCGGGAGCAGGGCGGTGTTTCCCTGGTCACGTGGGGGCCGGAGGGGCCGGAATGACGGCAGCGGCATCCGGAGAGAGGGGACAGGGAGTGGGAATGGGGACTGGGAGCGGGAATGGAAATATGGGACCAGGACAGGGAATATGGAAACCCCAACTGGAGAGAGAATATGAGATGGAGATTAGGAAAATGAGACCAGGATCAGAAACGGAAATACAGGAATGGGACTGGGAACATAGAAATGGAAATAGGGGAACGGAAGTGTGACCGGCAGTGGGACCAGGAATATGAGAACGGAACAGGATAGGGAGTATGGGCCTGGGAATATGGGAACGGCAACCAGATAAATACTGGACCGGGATGGGGAATGAGACTGGGAATGGGATCCAGACTGGGATGGGAGCAGGACGGGACAAGGAGTGCAGTGACATGGGAACGGGTGGGGAGCAAGGGGAGTGACAGCAGGGAGAGGGGGACTGTGGACAGGGGATGTAGGGAGCCAGGACAGGGAGTCATGGGAACAGTTCCAGGGCAGGGGAGCCTTGATCAGCTGCCCCAGAAACTCTGCCATCGTTTCCCAGTGCGGCCAAAGTCACTCAGCCTTGGGTGCCCAAAGCCCAAGTCCCACCAGGAACCCTCAACTCCCTGGAACGTAGCAGCCCCCACATCCCCTGGAAGATCTCCACATGTCCCCATCCTTGTCTTAGTTCAATGTTTTTATTTTTATCCTGGTTTGGTGTGTTTTGAAAAGACAGAGAGATATGAAAAGATAACCAAGGCCACATGGAGCCATTAAGAGGTGGAGCCCCCAGCCAGGTGTCTTGCCAACACAGATTACCAGCACCACAGATCACTGGGGCTCTGCCCACTGGGCAGCATGCAGCACAAATACTGCCATGGGGTATGGAACTGTAGCAGTGCAGACTTGGGGAACTGTAGCCGTGCACACTTGGGGCACACTTGGGGCACTCACAGGGCTTTCATAGTGGTGCCTCCGTTCGTGTTGGGTCAAGGCTGACCTCTGGCTGAAGGTCTTCCCACACTGGGGACATTTGTAGGGCCTCTCCCCCGTGTGGATGCGCTGGTGGGTGACCAGGGTGGAGTTGTGCTTGAAGCCCTTCCCGCAGTCAGGGCAGCGGAAAGGCCTCTCATCCGTGTGAATCCGCTGATGTACGAGGACATCTGAGCTGCTTTGAAACCTCTTCCCACACTCCCCACACTCATAGGGCCGCTCCCCGGTGTGGCTCCTCTGGTGGATCATCAGGTGATCGCTCCGGCTGTAGGTCTTGCCACAGTCGGGACACTCGTAAGGCCGTTCCCCAGTGTGGATCCTCTGGTGAAGCATCAGTTCAGAGCTCTGGCTGAATCTCTTCCCACACTGCCCACACTCATAGGGCCTCTCGCCGGTGTGGGTCCTCTTGTGGACAATCAGGTTCGACTTCTGGGTGAATCTCTTCCCACACTCGGGACACTCGTAGGGCCTCTCCCCGGTGTGGATGCGCCGGTGCCTGATGAGGTCGGGGTTATATTTGAAGCCCTTCATGCAGTCGGGGCAGCGGAAGGGCCTCTCATCTGTGTGAACCCGCTCGTGTGTGAGGAGATGGGAGCTTGTCTGAAACCTCTTCCCACATTTGGGACACTCATAGGGCCTCTCATTTGTGTGTGTGCGCTGATGCTTCAGAAGAGTGGAGCTTCTCTGAAAGCTCTTCCCACATTCCCCACACTCATAGGGCCTTTCTCCAGTGTGGATCCTTTGGTGGCGGATCAGGGCTGAGCTTCGGCTGAAGCACTTCCCACATTCCCCACACCTGTAGGGCTTCTCCCCATCGCAAAGCTGCTTGGGGACCCCCAGCTCTGAGCTCTGGCCGCCATCCTGTCCCAGGGTGGGTCTTTCCTCCTCTGACCTCCCTGGGCTACGTTTGCAGCCCCTCCTCGTGCGGGATCTCCGGGGCTTTTCCTCCCCGTTGGATTCCTGCACTGTGGAGCCGCTCAAAACAGCCTCATACCCAAGGTTCTGCTGTGGTGACTCAGCCTCCCTGCTCTCCATCCTCAGCTCCTGGTCTGGGGGAGGAAGGACAAGGAGAGGATGGGATTTACCCCTGTGCCACAGGGAAGGGCAAGGAGATCCCCCCAGTGCGTCCCCAGCAGGACAGCTTTGGCAGCAGGGTTGTCCTGCAGCCGGGGCCATGCTGGGCTGGGAGATGGAGCAGGAGAGAGGGGGAAAGGGGTAGTGACTTCCTTCTCACCTGCCTGGGGCTCCTGGGCCATCTTCCTCTTCCTTATAGCCTCCTCCTCCTGCATTGGGCCAAGGTTTGGAAATGGGAAATCCCGGTTTGGGGGAAAACAAGGGCTGAGCATGTTGGGTTTGATGGTCCCGCTGCCTCTCTTGGCTTGAAAAGACAGGTGTCTGCTAAGGAAGGCAGAGCCTCCCTTAAAATTGAAAATGTAACCCCCTCCCTCCAAATTACTATAATTTTGAAATTAAGGGGCACTCAGGGAAAGATATGGAAATAGGAATAACAGATCTTTGCTAGGAAAAATAAAATAAAAATGCAGTAGTACAAAAAAAAAAAACCACTGACAGAGTCAGAATCCAACCTGACACCCTGTTAGCCAGGGTGTTTGTTGCACTCCAATTAAATGGTGGCTGCCGTCCTCCTGGTGTGACAGATGTGGTTCTGTTGAAGCAGTGATCCTGCAGAATGGTGTAGTTTTCCTCCAAAGCTCCAGTGGTGGTGTAGATAGGTCTGGTCTTCCTCGGTGAATCCAGTGGAGAAGAAAAGCTGCTCCTCTGGGAATCCAGTGGGAAAAGCCTGACTGTGGTGTTCCAAATCTCTGATTATATGCAGGTAGGGATGCTTGGCTCCTCCCCCTGGGTGGGGCATCTCACAATGGGATAATGTAATTTTATCAACCATGCAGTGAGGCTCAATGGCCCATTAACAGAAGATATACCCTGAAAGGGAGGATTGTCAAAGGGGCTCAATGCCTCATTAACAGAAAATATCTCCCTGGAGGGATGATGGGTTGTGGAAGAGATAAAAATAAACTGCCCCACCTGGTTTTAACAGCTTGCCCATTAATAGAGAATATCTGCCCTGGAGTTAGAAGGGGATGGGTCATGGAAGTGATAAAGAACACTGCTCCACCTGGTTTCAACAGATGGTGATAAAATACATACTGCTGGTTACATCTTGCATTGCAACATAAGACAAGATGGACATGGACCAGGGGTTGATGCCAGGCACGGTGGACACCAGGACAGGGGTGACACAGAGACACTGGGGACATGGACCAGAGGGTGACAACAGGCAGCAGGGACACTGTATCGAGGTGACATCAGTGGGTGTTCCCAGAGACAGGGCCCACAGACTGGGCTGAGGTTTGGAAATGAGAAATCCTATTTCCAAGAGAAAAAGAAGGTATGAGAGCGTTTTGTTGGGCATTCCTCCTGCCCCAACCCATCTCTAGAAGTCACCAGACATTTTGTGTCCATAAAAATCTCCAGACCACCAAGATTCTGCCCAAAAAAACCTCCAGACCACAAAAATTTAATTGCAAAACCCCTCAGAAATGCCATCACTAAGCCTTCCAAGACTTGAATGTCTCATGATTATTTCAAAAAAGAGCTCCCCATGAATTGCCCCTCTCTGGTCTCTCCACTTTGGACTTCTGGGGATTCTGCCTCTATTGAGGGTTCTCCTCTCCAGAGTCCCAACCCTCTCCAGGCTGTCACAGGAATCCCCAGGGTCCCCCCTCTCTGCTCTTCTGACCTTGGGCTTCTGGGGCTCCCCCTTCTCTGTGCTGCTGGGGCTTCCCCGCAGCCCCCGGGGGGTCCCCGGCTCCCCCTCTCTGGGCTCCCCCTTAGCGATTCCGGGGCTCTTGGGGTCCCAGCGCTCCCGTTTCCCCTGACTCTGCTCCAGGCTGTGGGGAGCTCCAGGGCTTCCCCCTCCCAGGGTGTTCCCCTCTCCGGGCTGAATCCTGGCAGTCTCCTCTCTCTGGGCTGCACACTTTGGTGTCCCAGTGTTCTCCCCTCTCCTGCCCTCCCCCGTGAAAAAACAACCTCCCGGGACACCCCCAAAATCTCCCCAGTGGGCATTTGCGGCTTCGCTTTGGAGTCCTTTGAGCTCCAAAATACCCCCCTCCCCAAAAAATACCCTGCCACAGAGCCCCCAGCATATCTGGGTGAGCTCCCCCTCTGCGGTCACCTGAGATATGGGGGGAAAATGCCCCAGGGGCCGGGAGGGCTGCGGACACAGCGAGGGCTGGAGCGTGTGGTCCCTCCAATTCCACTTCCCGCTCCTCCTCCTCTATCCCAGCTCTTCCTCCCACTCCTCCTCCACGCCTCCTCCTCATCCTCCTTCTCTTGTTCCCTCCAGCCCTTGTCCCGCTGTTTCTCCCTCCCTGCTCCACCATCCCATTCCTCCTGCCCCGGTCCCGCAGCCCTCGCAGCCCGCGGCAGGAGCGGGGATGGAGCCGGGACAGGTCAGGATGGGCAGCGCGGGGCTCTCGGCTGCTCCCACCCGCTGGGGCCGGGGGAAACCCGGCCCGGGGAGAAGGAGAGGCAAACTGGGAAAACTGGGGGCTGCAGATCCACACTGGGGCTTGCTGGGGACCCTGGCTGGGGGCTGCCAGCCCCTGGGGCTTCTATCGGGTGATCTGGGAAGGGGGAACACAGAGAGGGCTGGGGGATGCCCGGAGTGGCATCTCTGGGATGGACTGGGCTGTACTGGGATCATACTGGGAGGGAGTAGGAGGCTGCAGGGGCAATTGAGGACGTGTTGGGGGCAAATGGGATATACTGGGAATGACTGGGATGATTCTGAGAGTGACTGGGAGCAGCTGTGAGCAACTGGGATCATACTGGGAGAAACTGGGAGCAACTGGGAGTGACTGGCTGCATGCTGGGGGTGATTGGAAGGAACTGGGTTTATACTGGGATTAACTGACATCATACTGGAGGTGACGGGGATCATACTGGCAGTGAGTGTGACTGCACTGAGGCTGATTGGGAGAGGTTGGGAGGAAATGGGATCATACTGGAAGGAACTGGGAGTGACTGGGAATAGGTTGGAAGGAACTGGGGTACACTGAGAGAGACTGGGAGTGACTGGAATGAAAGTGAGGGTGAAACAGAGCAACTGGAACCATGTGGGGCCCAACTGGTTCCTACTGGCAGTGACTGGGAGAACACTGGGGTCATACTTGGATCATACTGGGAGTGACTGGACTAATACTGGGAGTACCTGAGAGTGACTGGGAATACACCATGCACATCATCCCCCATACTGGGGGTGACTGGGAGCACACTGGGAGCAGATGGCATTATACTGGGACTGACTGGGTTACTCTAGCTGGGGGCAGATGGGACCATAGTGGGAGAGATTGGAAGCAACTGGGATTATTCTGGGACCACACTGGGAGTGCTGGTGCATGACTAGGATCATACTGGAGCTTACTGGGATCATATTGGGGTTGAAAGGGAGTGACTGAGATCACACTTTGGGCTCTTGGGAGCAACAGAGAGAAACTGGGATCATGCTGCAAGCAAATTGGAGTAACTGGAAAGGACTGGATGCATGCTGGAGGTAACTGGGATGTTGTGGGCATGACTGGGATCATACTGGGATAGCTAACAGCTTCCTGGGGCCACTGGGAGTGTTTGGGAATGACTATGGCTATGCTGAGGGCAACTGGCATATACTGGGAGTGTCTGTAAGCATACTGGGGTGACTGGAAGCACACTGGGCACAGCTGGGCCCATGCTGGGTGAGACTGGGATCCCACTGAGGGTGACTGGAATCCTACTGGGATTGACTGGGAGTGGCTGGGAGCAAGTGGAATCATGCTGAAAGCAACTGGAAGGAAGTGGGAGTGACTGGGAGCATGCTGGGGGTGACTGGGATCTACTGGGAGAGACAGGGGATCGTACTGGAGGCTACTGGGGTCATGCTGGCATTGACAGGGAGCACCTGGGATCACACTGGGGGCCACTGGCATCATAATGGGAGTGACTGGGATTAGACTGCAAGTGACTGGGATCCTACTGGGAGTGGCTACAACCATACTGGGACTATAGTGGGTGTCAATGGACCCTGACTGGGGGTTACTGGGAGCTACCAGCATAGGCTGGGAGCCAGCTGTGCACACACTGGGAGGAATTGGGAATGATAGGATGCATGCTGGTGACAGCTGGGATGTACTGGGAGTGACTGGGGTCACCTGAACCACGCTGAGGTAACTGGGAGTGCCTGGGAATGACTACGAGATCATGGCAACTGGGATATGCTGGGAGTGTCTGTAGGCATACTGGGGTGACTGGGAACACACTGGGGGAGACTGGGATTCACTGGGATTTGCAGAGCCTCCACTGGGGACAACTGGAAGTGATCCCCCCGTTCCTCCCAGCCCTCCCTCGGGCACTGTCCCATCTCCCACCCTTCGCCGCTGGGATCTGCCCGGAGCAGCTCGATGGCTCCAGGGCTGGGGCTGGGGGCGCTCCTGGGGGTCAGGGGGGAGTGGGACCCCAGCACCGGGACCCTGAACCGCCATTCCCGGCACAGGGACCCCTCTGCTCCCCTTTTCCTGCACAGGGACCCCCCTGGATCCCCCATTTATGGACATCAGGACTCCCTGGTCGCCTTTTCCCAACCATCCCATGGCTCCCAGACTCCAGACTTCCCTGGGACACTCTGGAATACCTTGGACCCCCATTCCTGCCTTTCTCAGCCCCCAGCCCCAACTTTCTGCAAAACCAGAGGCCCCCTGAACTCCCCATTCCTAAACATCCCGGGTGTCCCCACCCCGTTACCCCCCTTTTCTGGGAAAGCCTGGACTCCCTTTTCCAGGGCTCAAGGACCCCCTGGAACTCCTTTCTATCTCTCCATGTCCCTGCCCTCCCATTTCCTTGACCCTGAGACCCCTCTGCCCCCCCATTCCTGAGAATGGAGTCACCCTTTTACTCCTTTGCCCGGCACTGAGATCCCCCCTGCACCCCCTTATCCAGCACCAACACAACCTTTTCCTGCCCCCCCGCCTCTTCAGCCC